GTAATCTGGATTATGTAAATAGATTCCAAAGATTAAAATTAAAATGTAGATTATTCAGAATGTAATTTTCCCCCCTAATTCCTCTTTTTCATCTTTGAAGTTTTCATTTCTAAAATAGCCGGCTTATATACATTCAGAAAGTCTTCAGGTTTTGTGTACATTCACACAGAGATCAGTCATTGTTTTTTTTTGTTACATTTAGTTTTTTTTTTTTTTAATTAAGTATCACATCTGTATGTTCATTGGTTCTCTGACATTGGTTATAATCACATGACATGCAGGTAAACAAATAAAATATTGCATTTTTTAGTAAGTTTTCTTTTTATTGATTTTAAAATGCTTTATTTTAATTTAACATTTTATTATTATTAGCTTTTCATTAAACTCATAAGCCCCCTACAGTTCCTTCACAAACACCAGTTTGGGAAACCTTGACATAATATAATGTTTAATGCACTTCATGCTGTTAATAACAACAATTAAAATATATTTACTTACTCTTTGTATTTTTATGTCCATATGGTACTTTGATTATCCTATTTAAATCAACGTGATAGACGAGTTAGGTCAAAAGTAATCTAAAAGTAGTCTGATTACATTATTTAAAATGTGTAATGTAATGGGTTTCATTGCTAACTATAATGTTTTTTCATGTAATTTGGAATCAGTAACAGTTGCAACTGATTGCATCTCTCAGTGATTAACAACACGACTGTATTCCCTTCCAAGATATACAATATAATCATATAACGTGTAGTTTGATCTGTTTCTTTGAGAGTTCAAAGCACAACGCGACTGTTATCACGTCCATCATAAAACGTTACACACTATAATCATGCATTATGTAGTTTCAAAACGAGTTATAATGTGTTTTAAAAATGACTGAATCTAATATTTGCCATATTCTGCAATTCCGTCTGCCTTTTCCGCGTCACGGAAACCCTAATTCTGTTTGTTAACAGCAGGTGTTAATTCATCACTTCTTTATCTCAGTTAACTTGAACACTGAATAGTATTACTTGTTTAACACTGATCTTCAGTGTATAGATAATCCACACCATCTCAATACTATTGAGTATTGTAAAGCTTTAGTTGGGTGTTTCTTTTGTCTTTCTGTCAGGTGGCGTGCGGTGTCTCCTTCATTTTGGATGTGGAGTGAGGTGTCCTGCCCTTTAGGAGCACCTAAACAAGGTCTTATGACCTGATCCTCCTTTTCTTTGCACTTGCCCCAGTCAAATAAACAATACAAGTAAACTTAATTTGGGCTCACATCTGTGTTTACAGATGGCTTTAAAGATGAGAGAATGGCGAAAACGCCAAAGAGAACTCAATCAACTTCTATGTTATTCTGACAGCGATGATGAACATTGTGGCATTAAAAAAAAGTGTGAACGTGCGCCTGGGACTCCGAATAGTTGTAGCAGTGACAATGTGCCTGGGACCCCACATAGTTTCATCAGTGACACTGTTCCTGGGACATCAGATAGTTTTGACTTTGACACTGATGTGGACTATTGGTCTACTGACTCAGAAAAGGAACCAAATGATGAAGCTGAGGTGACCAGCAGCTTTGAAGTCAGAGGTGCTCGTGTTGAGAGAAGAATAGTTTTCAGTGAACAGGAATGCACTTCTCGAACAGATGACGGTTTCTCCAGAGTAGAGTACAGGAACCACCAAACTGATGTCAGCCCCTTCATTGCTGCAGGAATTCCTTGTGTTAGCTCATTTGTGTTAGATTATATGCATATGGTCTGCTTGGGAGTAGTTAGACGCCTGTTAATTTACTTGACTCGTGGCCCAAAAATCTGTCGTTTATCTGTGAAGCAAAAGGATGCAATTTCTCAAAAACTAATTGCACTGAGAGGGAAGATGCCGAGTGAGTTTGCTAGGCAACCGCGGGGTTTACGTGAACTAGATAGGTGGAAAGCCACTGAACTACGGCAGTTTTTGCTATACACAGGACCTGTGGCATTGAAAACTGTGTTGTCCCCTGAAAGATACAAACATTTCTTGTCCTTGACAGTAGCCATGTCGATAATGCTGGAGTCAGATGACAGGATTCGAAATGCTTATCTGCAATATGCTCATGAACTAATCAAACACTTTGTCATGCGCTGTGCTGACCTGTATGGCAAGACCTTTCCTGTATACAATGTACATGGATTAATTCATCTCCATGAAGATGCCAGCCACTTCAACTGTTCCTTAAATGACATTTCCTGTTTTCCATTTGAAAACTACCTGCAACAAATCAAGAAACATGTGAGGAGCGGGAGAAGTCCCGTGGAACAAGTTACCAGGCGTCTGTCAGAAATTGAACATTCAGAAGTGAACAAGAGCAAAATGCACTCTAAAGTGTTTGCTTCTGTTAAAGAAAGGGACAGTTGTTTTCTCTTGAGACGACAGATTTGCTTTTGTTCGACAGAAAAATGCTGACGGTATCTTTGCTTGTGAAATCCTGCACCAGCGTCACACTTCACCATTATTTCACCAACCATGTAGCTCTGGACTTCTGAATATAGTCTGCATAGGAAATGGTCAGGTCAGGATGAAAAATGGATTACTGCATGAAAGGGATCTGTTCCGCAAGGTCCCACAAGACCCACAAGAAACTGGTGGTTCTGTCCTCATACCCCTTCGCCATGGTCTGGAACACTAATAGAATTATTTTAATTATTTTATTCTTTTAGCTATATCCCAGCTGATCACCTGTTTCCATCTGTTTGTTTTCTGCATCTACCTCAGTGACTCCTGCCACCTGCCTGTCCTTACCCACCGCATCCATAAACCTCCCCTTGCCTCCCTCTCTCCTCCTGCCACAATATCCTACTCCCAATGTAACCCTCATCCCTCTTCCGCACGTCACAACCCTCTCAATTTCTTGCTTCTTGCTTTATTCACTAACTTAACCTGGGCTGACCCTCTAATGTAGTCATTAGTGATCTCCTAATGAGAAATGAGAATAGTCGCATATTCATTTCTGCCACCCCCAGGTCAGAGTTGTCTCTTCTAACATGACAATTGGGGATTTGTTGAATAGGGTTCAAGTCATTTTCTATGCCATTGCACTTGTAATTCGCTTTGTATAAGATTGTCTGCTACAGTGGTTCTCAAAAAGGGTTCCATGGACCCACTGGATTCCTTAATTGGGTTCTAAGTTGGACTCTTATAGGTCTGTAACTTTGAGAGTGAACAAATGGAACCTAATGGAACCGTAAGGGTGAAATGCGTAATGAAAATATTAAAAACTTAAACTTAACATGCATATGCTATCCTTTCCAGGTCATGTACGCAAGGGCTGTTTGGAAAGAGGGTGAACGAGAGGAGGAGGGTGTAGTTCCTGACAATTGTATCGACAGGAACAAGAGAACTGTTAGATGGCCATCCGAATAGTTGTAGCAGTGACAATGTGCCTGGGACCCCACATAGTTTCATCAGTGACACTGTTCCTGGGACATCAGATAGTTTTGACTTTGACACTGATGTGGACTATTGGTCTACTGACTCAGAAAAAGAACCAAATGATGAAGCTGAGGTGACCAGCAGCTTTGAAGATGACCTAAGACAGTGGTCCTTAGACCACAAATTGACACACAGAGCGCTTAATGGATTATTGTCCATATTAAGAAAGCAAGGGCACCTATTGCCTGTGGATTGCCGGACATTCCTTGCTACACCACAGTGTAACACAGCAGAGCCTAAATGTGGTGGGCAGTACAGATACTACGGCTTAGAAAAGGGGATCTGCCGTTATTTAAGTCAGATGGAGAGTAATGATGTGCACCTCAGTGTAAACATTGATGGCATCCCACTTTTTAAAAGTAGGTGTGTCCAATTCTGGCCAATACTGGTGAAGTGTGGCCATTTTGATCCATTTATTGTAGCTATGTTTAGTGGACAACATAAGCCAAGTCCGCTTGAGGAGTATCTTAAAGACTTTGTGACCGAGTACAAACATCTCAAAGAAAATTGTATAGTTTATAAAGGCCAGACTTACACTGTCAATATTGATGCTCTGATCTGTGATGCACCAGCAAGGGCATATCTAAAATGTATTAAGGGTCATACTTCCTATGAGAGTTGTGAGAGATGTTTGATCAGAGGTGCTCGTGTTGAGAGAAGAATAGTTTTCAGTGAACAGGAATGCACTTCTCGAACAGATGACGGTTTCTCCAGAGTAGAGTACAGGAACCACCAAACTGATGTCAGCCCCTTCATTGCTGCAGGAATTCCTTGTGTTAGCTCATTTGTGTTAGATTATATGCATATGGTCTGCTTGGGAGTAGTTAGACGCCTGTTAATTTACTTGACTCGTGGCCCAAAAATCTGTCGTTTATCTGTGAAGCAAAAGGATGCAATTTCTCAAAAACTAATTGCACTGAGAGGGAAGATGCCGAGTGAGTTTGCTAGGCAACCGCGGGGTTTACGTGAACTAGATAGGTGGAAAGCCACTGAACTACGGCAGTTTTTGCTATACACAGGACCTGTGGCATTGAAAACTGTGTTGTCCCCTGAAAGATATAAACATTTCTTGTCCTTGACAGTAGCCATGTCGATAATGCTGGAGTCAAGATGACAGGATTCGAAATGCTTATCTCCAATATGCTCATGAACTAATCAAACACTTTGTCATGCGCTGTGCTGACCTGTATGGCAAGACCTTTCCTGTATACAATGTACATGGATTAATTCATCTCCATGAAGATGCCAGCCACTTCAACTGTTCCTTAAATGACATTTCCTGTTTTCCATTTGAAAACTACCTGCAACAAATCAAGAAACATGTGAGGAGCGGGAGAAGTCCCCTGGAACAAGTTACCAGGCGTCTGTCAGAAATTGAACATTCAGAAGTGAACAAGAGCAAAATGCACTCTAAAGTGTTTGCTTCTGTTAAAGAAAGAGACAGTTGTTTTCTCTTGAGAGACGACAGATTTGCTTTTGTTCGACAGAAAAATGCTGACGGTACCTTTGCTTGCGAAATCCTGCACCAGCGTCACACTAAAATGCAAGCACAGCCCCTCTGCGAAGAGACCTTTCGAGACCCAGTGAGTATTCATCTCATCACACTTTAAACAGCACTTTTTTTTATTTTTTCAGGCCTTGTGAAATGTAAGAACATTCTTTGTGTTTTTCAGGATCTGGACATGTAGCAAGAGGTTGGGCCAGGGATGGCTATCGCTCAAGGTAAAGAAACAGGATAAGGCACAGCGTCAGTAGCGACTGTCTTCTACTGGTCTCCAGCCCTTGTTGTTGTCCAACCAGTAGGGGTTAGTCTGTTGCAGTGGTATTGTATTATGTCAGTTAAAAAATGTCCAAGTGATTAAAATAAATTTAAATGGTACTAGGTCCAGCGGTGGATCCAGCATCAGGTCCAGACATAGTGATGTCTCCAGATACAGGTCCAGGTCCAAGTCCTGGTACAGTGATGGTTCGAGGCACACCGTCAGGTCCAGACATGACGGGTCAAGGCACAGTGATGGTTTGAGACACGCCGGCAAGTCCAGATATGACGTGTCACGACACAGGTCCAGACATGACAGATCACGCCATAGTGACGCCTCCAGATGCAATGACAGATCCCGTAGTGATGCCTCCAGGCCCCCCGCCAGGTCAAGTCATAATGAAAGATCACGGCACGGTGATCTCACCAGCCCCCCTTATGAAAGGCCAAGGCATGGTGAGTTGTTTAAGACCACAAATTTCATCTAAGCACTTTGCAATTCAGTGAGTAGTGTTGATGCACCCCTAATCGTTACAATATTAATTTATTATTTATCTTCTAATGCGACCCAAATCTATTGAAAGTTGTCATTTGGTAATTTATCCTGTTTTTAGTATAGTTGCTTATGGTTCAATTTTACCACAAAACACATTCGGTTAAGCACTTTAATTTTTATTGTTGTACATTTGTTGTTGTGGTACAGACCGACGCAAGGTCGGCTGTGTAACTATTTATTTTAGTTTTTTTTTAATTTTACCACCAGTGTTGATTTTAGAATGTTTTTAGGTTACTAAAGTTTTTAGGTTATGAACGTTTTTAGGTTACGATGCACAACATTGAAGTGATTAAATTCATGTTCCTAGATTTTAATGGTAGTTGGCAGTAAATTTAACTAGTCAAAGCTTATTAGTGACGTTTGTGCCAGTTAAAAACAATAAAGATGGAAATAAGTGAGTGGTGGTTGAGTTGTGATTTATTTTTAAACCTCTGTTTATAACTGTAGTCCCATGTTTCAAGAAGGTGAAGGACCTGTTTCAGTTTGTAGCTTCGTTTGGCTCAGCAGCAGGATTGAATTGGAAATGCATTACACCTTTGTATGCTTTTCCATTAATCATCTGCTGCGGAGACAATCAAATGAAGCTATAGGAAAATGAACTTGAACAGTATGCCACCTTCTGAAATGGGACTACAGTTATGTACAGAGCCTATAAGCAGTATAAAATGATGTCTAAAATGAGTTTAAGTTTGATGTAGAAAAGACGTCCACAACCACCACATTTGGCCTACAATTAGCCCTTATACAGAGGTCCTGTGGACGTCAATACTGGACGTTCGGTAGACGTTGGAAAAAAGACGTCATCTGGCGTCACAGTCTGCACCTTCAGGGGACCAAAATTGGACGTTCAAAAATGACGTACAGAAGACGTCATTTGGACGTGTCTTTGCGCAGTGGGTCCTCGTGAGCTTTTCATACAGACTTAGGCCTACATAATATAGATAGCCTATATATATTATGCATGTGCCTACCAGCAGATACATGCCGTTTAAACTGTGTAAAATGTTGTTTCATACACACAAGAGCGTTTTAGAAATGGAAACTGTTGATGAACCACAAAATCAGCTGTTACCGCGACTTGATTAAACCACAGAAACACCTATTCGTCAAAATGTATTAATACTTTCTGTTCAATTTACTTTATATAAAATAAAACATATATTTTACTGACGACCACACATATTAATGACAATGAATCAGGCTACGTACCTCAGTTTTCCCGCGGCGATGTCTTCCACGTGCGATGTGTTGATCTTTGGAAGCACATGCGCAGTAGGAGTCGACTCCAAAAGAGTCGATTCCTTGAATCTGACCAGCCCCGTTTTCGAAGTAGACTTAATATAAAATTATTAATATTCGACTCAGGCATTAAAGCGTGATTACTCCTCGTGAGCTTTTCATACAGACTTAGGCCTACATAATATAGATAGCCTATATATATTATGCATGTGCCTACCAGCAGATACATGCCGTTTAAACTGTGTAAAATGTTGTTTCATACACACAAGAGCGTTTTAGAAATGGAAACTGTTGATGAACCACAAAATCAGCTGTTACCGCGACTTGATTAAACCACAGAAACACCTATTCGTCAAAATGTATTAATACTTTCTGTTCAATTTACTTTATATAAAATAAAACATATATTTTACTGACGACCACACATATTAATGACAATGAATCAGGCTACGTACCTCAGTTTTCCCGCGGCGATGTCTTCCACGTGCGATGTGTTGATCTTTGGAAGCACATGCGCAGTAGTGATGAGGAGTCCTTGAATCTGACCAGCCCAGTTTTCGAAGTAGACTTAATATAAAATTATTATATTCGACTCAGGCTGTGTCTCCACTAATTTGGGAGTCACTCTAAAGAACCTGAAACCGATTACATGAGAGACAATAGCATAGCGAAGTTTAACGTTTTTATGACTGAGGCAGAATTTCAGCACCACTGGAAATGAACAGTGACCAATCAAATAGAAAGCACAGACATGAAACTTCATACTTGTATGTTATATTACATCCTAAAACGCTGTCTGGCATTAAAAACAGTCGACAAGCATTAACTGCACATCAATGCTTTATATTAATTAGATTTTATTAACACAATCCCGTGCTTCCTTCGCCAACTGAAGCAGAGGCTGAAAAACATAGGATTATCTCCGCTTGGCCCCAGGGAGAACGCCTCTTAATCAACTTGCTTTTTTGTTGTTTGCTTGTTTGTTTCAGGATTAAAATAATAATAATAATAATAATATAAGATAAACGACTGCTTATTTTCATTCACTGTTAATAAAATGATACAAATCATTCAACAGCATGTTGTGTTCTTTCATTCTGAGTGGAAAATACTCGGGTTTAGTTATTATACTTATCATATAGGTGTAGACGCATGTATAATCAGTGTAACTGCAGCTGTTATCAATAGCAGTAAATATGAAGGAACGTCTAAAACGTATAATTAAGAACGACGTCTATGCGATGTAAATCAGATGTCTAATAGACGTAACATTCTAATATTTAACGTCTGTAATACGTCCACCGGATGTCGCTGGAACGTCGGAAAAGGACGTCTATGCGACGTCTTCCAGATGAGCAAACGCCCTAAAAAATACGTCTCCCAGACGCAAATGCACACATCGCACAGACGTCCCCGCGACGTACCTGTGCTATCTGGGCTGGGTCCCACGGTGGGCAGAATATCCTATTCTTAGAGTCTCAAAGGACCCAGGCCCATTTCAAGCCTTTTCCTGACTGACTCAGATTGTTATTGTGTATTATATTTATGGAGCGAGATTAGTCTCAATAATAATTCACGCAAAAGACACGATGCACACATGCGTAGCCCAATTCACATGCATGAAACCTAATTCAGTGTATCCATTATTCCATTAAAACTGGACCAAAAAAAAAAAAAAAAAACCTCAAAAAAACAG